GTCAGAGAGAAGATAGATTAACAAAGCTGAAGAAATTGTTAATGTTGAGCACACCATCTAGTGAAAGAGTACACTGCTGTGAAGAAACTGCTTAGAATAGAAACTTGCAACCCAAAAATAGGGAATACAGAATTGGCTATTGCAACAAATGAGGAAGAGAAACGCTCCCTAAAAAATAAAATGATGTTTACATATATTGAAATCAGTGTAATATAATGTTGATATCTATTTTAGGTTTAAATATATGCAAGGGTAAATGCTGTCATCATGTAAGACTGCTGAAGTCACTAACGTAGCATAAGAATATTGTTATTATAACTAGTGAAAACATAGAACCTTACTTGAAAATAAATTTTTCAGCAGTATTTTAGACTTTGAAGTGTAAATGTTATCATAACATAAAAATCACTTTTAAAATGTTCCAAAGCTGCTAATGAAAAATACAAACATCACTTAAGAAGTCACTAACTTTAGTGAACAATATAAACACTAACATGACTTGTTAAATTTTACTAATCCGACTAAATTGGGATCCACTAATATCACTTGAAAATTTACTAACTCAACTCAAGAAAATGGCTAATGTATATTGTGAAAATATGAAACCTCACTTAGCAATGGATTGTTTAAAAAAAGTGACTTGTTGAGATCCAGTAACAGCACTTGGGAATCTACAAACCCAACTTGAAAAAATACCTAACATATATTGTAAAAATATGAAACTCACCTGGAAATAAATTATTTAAGAAAAAGTGATAGAGTATAGTTAGTAAGGAACATGAAAATTTTTGAGTTTTTTAGACTTTTGATCCAGTTAGTAAGGAACAAAGTATAGTTAAACTCATGTTTAAGTAAACCAAAACACATGTCCATGTTAAACAATCTATTTTCAAGTGGATTTTCGTATTTTTGCAATATACATTATACATTTTTCCAAGTTAGGTTAGTAGATTCTCAAGTGACGTTACTGGATCTCAATTTGGATAAGTCACTTTTTCTTAAACAATCTATTCCCAAGTAAGGTTTCATGTTTTCACAATATACGTTAGCCATTTTCCTGAGTTGAGTTAGTGAATTCTCAAGTGACGTTAGTGGATCCCAATTTAGTTAGGTTAGTGAAATTTAATAAGTCATGTTAGTGTTCATATTCTTTATTGAAGTTAGTGACTTTTGAAATGATGTTTGTATTTTCATAGGCAGTCTTGGAACATTTTAAAAATAAGTTTTATGTTATGACAACATTTATACTTTAAAGTCTAAAATACTGTGAAAAAACTATTCTTAAGTGAGATTTTATGTTTTTACTAGTTACAGTAGCAATATTCTTACGCTATGTTAGTGACTTTAGTAGTCTTATGTGATGACAGCATTTACATTTGTACATATTTAAACCTGAAATAAATATTAGCATTGTATTACACTAATTTTAATACATGTAGATGTCATTTTTATTTTTTAGGGAGAGTTTCTTTTTCTCATTTGTTAGAATAACCAATCCTACATTCCCCATTTCTGAGTTGCAAGTTTCTATTCTAAGTAGTTTCTTCATAGCAATATGCTCTTTCACTCAATGGCATGCTCATTGTCGACAATTTTTTTAACTTTGTTAATCAATCTTCTCTCTGATAGTGGCAATGTTACTACCATTTAAGAAGGATGAAGCCGAGCAGGAAGAAAGAGTATAAAGCTTTGACAGAGATGAATGACAACAAATCCTATATCATGGTGTGTTCACAACATTAGAGTTAATATGGAGACACTGAGGAATGACAAAGAACGAGAACAAAGGAGAACAAAAGAAGAAAGAAAGAGATGCTAAAACAGAGCAAGAAATGAGGCTGCGTGCATGGGTGTTTTGTTATTTTTTTTTCTTAGAGGCATTTAAGACCATCTACATTTTTTTAAATCCCAATGATCCTTAATTGAGATTTTCATATTTCATGATCTTCAATTGGGATTAATGTCCTTAGGGGATCCTTAGTTGTCATTTTCCCTTAAAAGAATTTCAGATACTTGTTCTTTGTGCTTCATCCAAACAAATCTATATGTATGGAACCAGTTTTAATAGTCACCACCTAAATGAGAACTATATGAGATCTAGACCATCTGTATTTTAATATAGATGGTCCATATTAAAGTATTTTTTTACTTTATTTTATATTTATAAACTGAAAATGTATAAAAATTATAAATTTTTTGATAAATGTGTTAATCACTAATCAAGGGAGTACTTATTTAATTTGAATGGTCTAATTTAATATTAAAAATTTTAATAATTTTTATATAATGACTTTCTAAATATATTATGAACCGTGTATATTTAATATAAAATTTTCTTTTATGCTTTTTATATATTTTTATTTTGATAAATATAAATATAAAAATTAAAATAATATCCTAACTAACACTTTTTTAAGAATTTTTTTAAAAAAATTTACAAGTCAAAAATTTTATACCTTTACCATTTAGCATAAATTTTGCATAGTCAATTTTTAAAAATTTTAATATTAAATTTGGACCATCTAAATTAAATTTAAACTAGATTAGTAATGAATATATTTATTAAAATTTTTATAATTTTTATCTTAATAAATATAAAATAAAAATGTAAATACATACTTTAAATCTAGATTATGTAAATTAAAAGTTATATGGTTGAGATCTTATCATCCTAATAAATACCATGGTTCTAGCTAGCATCGAAATTCCTGTACGTACCTTCATCTTCCCCCCATTTCAACAAGGAAAAATGACAAAGAGGTCCTTTTAATTTAAGTTAGATCCCAAATGTCAAACTTTATAAATTTGTAAATTCATTTCTCAATTTTGTAATTGTATTGTGATGAATTTATAACTTATTTTTTAAATTTTAATATGGTTAAAGAATAAAAAAATTTATTTTCTCTATCAAAATTTAAAATACAAGTTACAAATTCATTATAACAAAATTACAAAATTGAAAGATTGCGTTGTAAATTTTTAAAATTTAAAACTTAAGACTTAACTTAACAAGGACCTCAATGTCATTTTACTATTTCAACAAACATATGTGTACCTTCATCTTCGCCCCATGTCAACTTTATGAGTACATTGTTTAAAAAAGGCAAATTATATTTTGGAGAATAAAGTTACTACTTTACTCCAATAGTCTTGCAACATGCATTGATGATCGCCAAGAAATGTGTGTTTATTTTTGTTTTTTGTTTTTTGCCAATCACGAAGAAACCAATTATAATAAGAACTTGGGGAAATAAATATATTTTACAAGGGATGAAAGAATAGATCATTACATTTGACAAAGGAAGCTAATAAATATTCTAATGTGTTTGTTCATGAGGCCTCCTAATAAAATCTAGATCTTATTATTTTTAATCATTAACTTAATTAGAATGGAGATCTTTTATGAAATCTAACAAGGGGTAATTTTTGTATCTCTCCTGCGTGGATTGTATTCAATATATATATATATATATATTTCAAGGTACTAACTAAATTTTTGATAAAAAAAAAGTTACTAACTAAATAAATATAACGGTGATAAATGCTCCTGTCACCTAGAATGGTTGATGGTTGGAATTTCAAACCTCATGTAGGCTGGACTCTATTTGGGTGTTTATTATTGGGATGAGATTTGAAGTAATCTAGATCTACATTATTATTATATATATTATATTTATTAAAATAAAATTTTAAAATATTTTTAAAATATTTTTTATTTTTAATATAGTTTAGATTTAATTTAAAAGATTTAATTTAATATTAAAATTTTTATAATTAATATCTATTGATTATTCAAATGTACTTTACACAGTCTAAATTAACACTAAATTAAATCTGAATTACACAGAGTATATTTGTATAGTTAATAAGTATAAAAATTTTAATATCAAATTAAACCCTTTAAATTAAATCTAAACTATATTAATAATAAAAATTTTATTAAACTTATTTTTATTTTTATTTGAATAAATATAAAATAAAAATATATAATAATAATTTAAATTTAGTTGGTCAACGCCCAAACCAAGTCCGGTGTAGATGGATTTTCTTAGTACTAGGCAAATGGGTTGCGTGCGGGCTGACAGTTTTGTGGGTTGGGTTGGGCCAACCTGCCAGATGAAACGGGCTGGAAAATCCAACCCAACCCATTTTTCAGCGGGCTAGTCAAACCGCGGGCTAACCCGCAAAAAATTATCAAATTTTGTTAATAATTTAAAATTTATACAATATAAATATATATATTTATTTTATATTTTAAAGCAAATTAGAAATTAAAAAACTTGTAAATAAATAAAATAAATATAGAATTCAACCAAGCAAATTCATTTTGCTAGATTTTTATTATTAATCATTTTTTCACTTAGGTGTGCTATTTTTGTCACTAATAAAGAAAATTTGAATATAAACTCATATTATTTTTCTTAGTGAATTCATATTTATAATTTTAATCAATAAAATTTATGAGATTAATAAATAATATATATTCAAAACATTTCTATAAAAACTAATAAATTATCTTCATAAACTATAATAAAAATTTTATTTGCAAATTATAAAAAGAATTTACACTATATTTTAAATGTAAAGAATATATTTAAAAGTCATAAATTATATATTTAAGAGATATTATCATTATTGTAAATTTATAAAAAGATATAATATAATTAAAAAATTAAAAATTATTTTTTAAAAAATATTACTAGCCCGCGGGTCAGCCCGTTTTAACCCGCTTTTTTTGCGGGTTGGGCTAACCCAACCCGTTTTAAAAAATGGGTCAATTTTTTCAATTCAACCCGTTAAATTGTGCAGATTAAATGGGCTAGCATGCGGGCTCAACCCTTCCCGGCTCTAGACTTTCTACACCAATGAAGTCTGCTACCTCTAGCAAAAAAACAAAAAAACAAAAACAAAAAAAAGAGAAAAAAAAAAAAATTTACGAGTTATAAAATGTGCGCCAACACAATAATCCTCAATACGACCAAGGAAGCGGCGGCGCGGATCATCCCATCGGAGAGAACAACCGTGAGGTTTGGGCAAGAGGTTGTTTCCACTAGAGAAGATGCGCTTCAGATTCTTCTCAGGCTCAAGCGAACATTGGAATCAAAGTGGTACTCATTTTTCAAATCAATGGGATGGACAATGTCATTGTTTTCCTCAAACAAGGGCGCCGATCCAATCGACGAGTGCAGGGATGGCAAACTCGTCAATGGAGTTTCCCTGTTGCACTATCAGGAGTTTCGTTCTCGAAGAACTTGTCCCATCCCAAAAGTTCCATTGTCTCGAGGATTCGCTGCGAATCGTCCATCGACGGCGATGGAAGAGGTTAGACTTTTGAAATCCTTTAGCTTAATGACAATATATTATGGGCAATTCCTCTATGTTTAATTGAAAATTAGATTATTTAGTGGTCATTTTCACTGTGCATTTTCTCTGCTTGATCCTAGTACTGATCGTAGCGGGTATTCAAAATTACAATCAAAGAAGACATGAATAAGATGTACAAAAGAGTGATTGGGTTGTCTTTGGATTAGGACACGATACATGCACCATGTGGTTCCTTCTAGTGCAACCGTTACTTTGATTAGTGAGAAGACTAATGACTAGTACTGCCAAGTGCCAACTCTAAAGTTACTGAATAGTTTTTTCAAATTATATGAAATTTGGAACATTTCAATTTATTATTTTTATTTGTCAATTGAAAAGGAAACTTCATATCTTGATCTTTCCATTGACTACAAAAAGACAGCGCATTATCATTAAATATAAGCAACCTAGTTTTCTTGGTCGTATTTGGAAAAGTAAATTCAACGGTTTTGCAAAGTTCAATTTTGCCCCCAAAAAACGAAGAGTTTTGTCGCTTCCAGTTAGAGGTAGGATTAAGCCTCGTAAAAATCCTAGTCATTACAGTGGACGTCTGTTCATCTCACTCCTGCAAATCTGCCAGCCGGGAACCACCTAGTCAACCAGAAGTTAATCAGGTACGAAGCAATATCTCTCATCTGAATAAAAAGCCGATTTCCCTCTTTTATTCTTTCTTTTTTCTTTAAGAATGTTTCTATTTGTTCTATGCATGAGGATCTATCTGCGATCACTCTTAATTGTTTTGTGACTGTCCCTTACAGATCACACCTTTTCTCGTTGTTTTTTTATCTTTGCATAGATATGCCAGAGAAAACACAACGTTAAAACAGTGAATTTAGTTGATCTAATGGCTAAATATAACTAAGAAAATTAGATTCCAGGGCAAGAAAGTTACAGGAGCAGTTGATATTTCTTATTTTCCTTTGGGCATAAAAACTCACGCCTTTCATCTTGATGATATCTTTATGAAGGAATAAGTTTGCAAGATGCTTCCATTCTACCAAATGGAATTATAAGTTAATCATTTGATGACGATGAATGATTGTCCTTTTAGGTTGCTATCAATATTAAATGGCAGAAGTGGGATTATCAATAGCAGCAAAACTTGCTGAATACTTGGTGGATCCAACATTACAGCAATTGCAATATTTGTTTTGTGTCGGCAAAATAAGCAGAAATGTTGAGACCAGAAAGGAGGGTCTGATTCTCAAGCAAGGGAGGGTGCAAGAACGTGTTGAAGAGGCCATTAATAAGACTGAGATTCAAAAGTGGTGTCCTATGTGGAGGAGATATTGTGTCTGCAAAAAATTGACAAAAACAACTCAAAGGATGATACAACTAGACGCAGAGAGTGATAAGTTTAACTCAAAGTGAGAAGTGGCACAAGAAATTGCTAAAGAATGTAAAGGACTGCCCATTGCAATTGAGGCTATGGGGCTTTGCTTGAAAGGAAAAGGACTTGATGAGATGAATGTAGTGTTACATAGGTTAAGGCATTCAAAACCAATAAATATGGATGAGGGTGTAAGGGATGCTTTTTCTTGTCTCAAACTAAGCTATGATTATTTGAGAATGCCTGAAGCAAAATTGTTGTTCTTAGTGTGTGCTATATTTCCTGAAGATCATAAAATTATTATTGAAGATATTTTGAGATATGGAGTAGGGTTGGGCTTGTGTAGAGATGCAGACTCTTTTGAAGTAGCTAGGAGCCAAGTTAGAGTGGCACTTAATATTCTCGTTGACTCTTCTTTGTTGACTTATTCTCAAAATGTTTGGAAGCAAGAATGCTTGACAATGCATGACATGGTTCGTGATGTAGCTTTATGGATCGCATCCAAAGAGGATTGTACCATTATGGTAAATTGTGCAAAAGAACTAGATGAATTGCTTGGGGATGAAGCAGTTAAAGATTGCTATGCAGTATCTTCATGGCATGAAGACAAAAAATTATGTCAATTTCCTTCTCAATTGGATGCTCCAAAGCTTGAGATTCTATTGTTAAATTCAACAAAGCCCTTGGATTTATCTCTTGCATCATTTGAAGGTTTAGAAGAAATCAAGGTTGTAGCTATGGTTCATGACGGGCCTCTCCCTCAGAAGGAACTGCGACCTCAATCAATGCAATGGTTGTCTAATCTTCAAACTTTGCGGTTGCAAAAATGGGATTTAGGTGACATCTCTTTTGTGGTAAGATTAAGGAAACTTGAAATTCTTGACTTATGTGGTAGTAAGTTCAAAAAACTGCCAAGTGGAATTGAAAATCTAAACCAATTGAAATTGCTAGATTTGTCAATGTGTGAAGCAGAGGAGTGTTGTTGTGAAGTAATTGGAAGGTGTTCACAAATAGAAGAATTGTATGCTTCTAGGAATTTCCTGCACATGGGAAACACAAATTGTTATGAATGCCTTGTGGATATACCTGCTGTTCCAAAATTGAGGAGGTATATATTAGAAATGGGGCAGTGCAAATGTCCAAAAATTTGGACTAAAGGCAGGAGAGTTTTATACTTGGGACAACTAAATATCTTTATCTCTAGTGCATTAATCAGGGGTTTGGGGCAAAAAGCAACTGCAATTGAATTTTATGATCTACAAGAAGGCTGCAAAAGTTTCATCCCAGATGTAGTTCAAGCCATAGGGGGTATGAATGAATTAACTAAACTCCACCTTAATAGCTGTTCGGAGATAGAATGGCTTATCAATGAAACTACTACTCATGAAGATGTTGTTGTCCCCAGATTGGCTGAGTTGGAGCTGGTTCATATGGATAATCTAAGACAGCTATGTCATGGCCCTTCTTATCTTAACTTATTCCAAAATCTTGAAAGTCTAAACATAGACAATTGCCCTCAGTTGCTTAACATGTTTCCTGCTGATTGCAACTTAGGCAACCTTAAGAAGCTCCGGATTTCAAGCTGTCCAATGTTAATCCTCTTCCATGTATCTGTTGCCTGCACTCTGCTTTCACTAAGAGAACTCAGCATACATAGTTGCCTTCAGTTACACAACATGTTTCCTGCTCATTGCAACTTAGACAACCTTAAGTTCCTCCAAATTTTCAATTGTCCAATGTTGACATCTCTCTTCCCTGTCTCTGTTGCTTGCTCTCTGTTATCTCTAGAAGAGCTCAGAATAGAAAAATGCCGTAAATTGAAGAGTGTGATAGAGGGAGAAGGTGGCAATAATGATTGGGAGAATCCAAGATTTCCAAAATGGGAAATTCTATCTGTTACTGATTGTTACCAATTAGAATCTGTATGTCCAATCTCTTGTGCTCAAGGGTTTGTGCAATTGAAACATCTAATCATAAAAGATGCTCTACTGTTGAAAGTTATATTTGGTGAAGAACAGTCAATATATGATCAAAATGGGACCCAGGTAATGCTACCTCTTTTGGAAAATCTCATGCTGAAAGACCTCCCAAATCTTCTCAGAATTTGCTCAAAAGGCCATCATCCAATGTGGCCGTCTATAAAAAAAGTAGACTGGATAAACTGTCCAGGATTGAATATTCCACGTGATTCTCTCATTATTGGTTCAGAACTAAGGCAGCCACAACCAAATAGAGTATGCACTTGCTCTCTCATGCTTTCATTTGATTTGCAAAAAGAAGAATACAAACAAATGAAGTTAAATTTATAAATATCTTAGTTCATGTAATTGATTTTTTCAGTATGAGTGTAATAGCAAGTAGTTCTTCATGCAAATGCATACAAACCGAAAACCTACTCAATTAATGCCTCTTCAGATTTTGTAATTCAAAATAAAGCAGAAACCAAAAAAGTCACATAAAAATAATAATCAAACTAACAGCACTTGAATTTATGATTTTTTAACCCCACTTCCTTTTATATGCAGGGCTATTTTTTATTTGCTATTTTTACCCATACAGTGATACATTGTGTCTCTAGACAAATAACACGTGGATTATTAAGTTTTAACAACCCCCACGTAACTATACTTCAAGAATATCTGAACGTGCTTTCAGTGCCTTTTTTCTTAAATGAAGTATGTTAATAGTTTCTTTTTCTTTTCTTTCCTTTATTTCTCTCTCACATAGGAATTGCATGCCCTTGGTGGCCATCAATTGAGAAATGAAGAGCCCGAGCCATTAGCAGCTGTTTCAAATATAGAGAGCATTAACCTTTGGAATTGCAGGGTAGTATCCCTATTCTACTATCACAGTGGGGTTGAAGTTCCAAAGACTACAACATCCAATGGTCTCAATCTCATCCAACAAATTCCGATATTCCAATGCCTTAAAAAATTATCTGTGAATAACTGTGAAAAATTGAAATCTCTTTTCTCTGCTAGTACCTATCAAAGCCTTCCAGAGTTAGCTTTTGTAACCATATCAAACTGTTGGGAATTGGAGGAAATTTTTGTAGAAAATGAACAAATTCAGAAGAAATTATCCAAAGCCCACTCTTGTTTACCAAAATTGCAGAGTTTAAGCATCAGCAGGTGCAACAAGCTAAGAATAATTTTCTCTGCTGTTATCTGTCAAAGCCTTCCAGAGCTGACTTTTGTGACCATATCTGACTGTGTGGAGTTGGAGGAAATTTTTGGAGAAAATGAACAAATTCAGAAGAAGCTATCCAAAGCCCACTCTTGTTTGCCAAAATTGCAGAGTTTAAGCATCAGCAAATGCTACAAGCTAAGAAGAATATTCTCTGCTGGTATCTGTCAAAGCCTTCCAGAATTAACTCATGTATACATATGGCAGTGTAAGGCATTGGAAGAAATTTTCACAAGGAATGAAGAAACTCAGAAGAATCTATCCATAATCCAAGCTTTTCTCCCAAAGTTGCGGACGTTGGAAATCTGCAACTGCAATAAGCTGAAAATCATATTCTCTGTCATGACCAGATGCTCAAATATTGAAGATCATGACATCGACAGTGAAAAGGAGATTATGTTCCCAAACTTGAAACATATAGCACTTTACAAGTTACCAAGACTTGTTAATGTCTGCCAAGGATTTAAATTGCACATAGTGGAGTTTTGCAAAGTGCTGGTTCATGAATGCCCAAAATTTGTGCCATTTATCGGTGCAAGTATTGGATGGAATCATGAAGTAAGTAATATTCTTCATTTGTGGTTCTCAGTGCTTCCTTCCATACTGCAAATCTTTTCAGTGTTTTAGTCTGCAATATTTACTTGATGCTATGTGAATAATTCACGCTTCTAATTTTTTAACTTGTTTCTGTCTTTTAATTTCCCCTTTGTATATTTAAGCTCATTAACCTTGGTGCGATGACTTTATTATATTTTACATGCATATCAGCATACGCACTAGATATCTCCATGCACACAAGAGTTAGAAAGCAAATATGATCTCGCATTTAATACAATATTCCTTTCTAGTTCTTTATATGTGATACAAATAGTGGTCTGGAAATTATTCCCTGATGATATCATGAAGAACTTACATGAGAATTTTATACAAGATGAGAAATATATGATAGGAGACAAATTGCTAAGATAAAAGGATCAGATCCCCGATCGTATGCCTATTTCCTTAGGTCAGCTATTAATTACATGATCAACTAATTATTACACTACAATGTCTAATATGATCTGAAATTAATGATAATATGTTCTAACAATATGCATCGCATTTTCACATTTTTTTTTATTTAATTTCTGTGATATAATTTTTATATACATAATCAACTAGTGACCGTTGTGGTGCTACCAAATATAAGGTTTCAGTTGTTCTTATAGTATTTGATATGATAATCAATAATAATTCTGACAATAGAAGCTCAAGGTCATGAGATTTTTTTTATGCATTATATATTATCCTGTTTTTTAGCATGATTCTAGCATGGTATAGACAAAGCAAGTCACGGAGACATCTTGTATTCCTACATTCTAATTTATGTGTCTTACTCCAATTGTCAAATAAAAGATGTTATTTATCTACCCTTTGATCATTAATCATATGATGTGATAGAGTAAAACATTGAAGAAGCATTTGATATAACAAAGCTGATAAGTCTCATCCAGTTGTGAAAATTTTGGTTATATTTTTTGATTTAATCTTCTATTCTTTATGTGATCTTTCCAAAGGAACTCAGACTCTACTTTTTGTGACCAATTCTTTCACCTCTCTATTATACAGGGACTTGTTAGGACGTTTGTCTTGAAATGCAGCCAATTAAGCAATAATACAACTCTCTCAATACCAGTTTCTATTTTTAACTCCGAAGAACTTGATATTGAAAGTTCTAGAGTTCTAGACTTGTATAAAGTAATTGGTGGTGGTGATGATTATAATGAACCACGTGAAGGCAGAGAGATGTTGAGGTATGAACATCAAATGCTAAAAGGTCTTGTTCCAACCCAAGTTTTGAGCTTCCAATGTCTTCATTCTTTAATGGTGATTGGATGTCAAAAGTTGAAGTTCTTATTCTCAACAAGCACCATTCTTCACAACAGCCTTCCCAAATTAACTTTCCTAACTTTATCTGGTTGTGATGATTTGGAGGAACTAATTGGGGACAACGATGAACCTCAGAACATGTCTAATGTTCAGCTTTGCTTCCCAAAACTAAGAGAGTTAGAGGTTAAGAGGTGCAGCAAGCTCAAAAGACTCTTTCCTTCAATTGAGATTGCACTTCCAAAGCTGAGAATACTTGTACTTGAAGGTCTACCCGCCATCATTGACATTTGTGGAAGTTTTCCCTTTCAGTTGCAGACTCAGTCTTTATTGTTCTTCAAAGTTGAGGATTGTCCCATTTTCTCCAAAACCACACATGCTGCTCTGAACAACCTTTTGCTTGAAGGAAACCCAGGTTTATATTTACACAAGTCATATACACACTCGTTTGATTTAAGATATTTCTTCTAATTTTATATTTCCATTTGTGGGTTAATATTCTTTGTAATGCACAACATTGAATCGTTAATGCCGGAAACATGGAACTATATTGCATTCTTATTACTTCGTGGTAACTTTGTTTTGTTCTACATGCATGTCAGTTATTTTGAATTCATACTTGCATTAGTTTCTTAGTGAATTCATTTTCATTTATTTGAGAAAAGTATATTTTATGCATCATCAGCTTTTGAATAATTTTTGGCAACATTTTTTTCACTAAATTTGATTGGATTGGTGTCTTGATGTTTTTGAAATAAAGTTCATTCAAGTAGGATCTTACAATGAGTTTTGGTTTCTCCTTTGGCGTTCTTCCTCTTGCAACTTATATTATAGATTGAATTCCCCCCCCCCCCCGGTTTATACAGATGAATACCAAGAAGGTGAAGAGACACATGATCATGATGGTTTTCGTTTTTCTTATTACGATGTTGATGAATACCATTTTCTGATGGAACAGTGGCCATAGTGGGCACAAATATATGCAGGTTCTGAAAGGTATTGGTCTCCACTCTCTCTTAGCCTGAAAGATTGTATTTACTCTCTAGTTCCAAGCAATTTGATTTAATACACACACACACACATTATTTGAATGATTTTGAATTTAATACTTATTTCGGTTCATTGATTGTATAAACTAATATTGCTCTATGGGGTTGATATGACAGCTTTGCCTGTTTGAATTCTTTGCTTCCACTATGGAATAGTGTAACATCTTAATTTTGACTATAAAATTTTAATTGACATTAGAGATTGATTTACTGAGTAAAATTTGAAGGTGATTAATATTTACTAATATTGATTTGAATTCGATGGGATTATTTCATAGTAATTAGAATTTACTAGATAATCATTTAAGGAAAGAAAATTTATCCAAAAAGTTAAATTTTAAAGATATGGTACCAAGCAATGATCTTTAGAAAAAAGAGAAAAAATAATAAGATTAAATGTGATTAAACAAAATTATGTAAATTAGTTTTCCTACTTGGGAGATCATAATTATTTAAATGTTAATGGAAATTTATATTTGAGCAAAATATAAAAGTTCACTTTATTCATTTACATTTTATGCGAATCTTGGAATATTATAGAAAATTATGAAACATGATTTGAGGATTTGAGATCATGACACAAGATTTTTTTTTTAAAAAAAGTAAATAAAATTCATATAATAAATTAAGAAAAGGAAAAGAATAATAAAGGAGAAGAAGAATCAGATGTGGAAAGAAAAGAAAATTTAAAAAGAGGATGTAGGGCCCACGTCCCATAAGACATTCGCACCCCAATTTTAATCACACTTCTCCCTCCAGTGTTATCAGCCCTCCTCAAGAGCGTATGAGTGAACCCGTGTCATGCCCCAAAAAATAGGTGATCGGTAGAAAATGTGAACCGTATCAGAAATTATTTTTGTTTTAAATTGATAAATTATTTCATTTTTAAAAATAATAGTTTTTACATCAAATTTATGACATCATTAATAATATTTATTATAAAAAATTTAATATTTTTATAGAATTTTCAGCAAAATTTTTCTTGAAAATAGAATTTTTCAAAATTGCTGCAATAAAAAAATATTACACTATGCATTTAATAATTTTGAGCTACGCTTCCCAGAAGGTTAGCCAAAAATAAAAATAAAATCAGGATTGTAATAACCAAGAAATTTAGTAATTTTTAAAGTATTAAATTAAATAATTAATTGATTGAATAAATCAAAAATTTGAAGAAAAAAAAAAGGCTTGCAAAAGATTGGGAAAAAATGCAAGAAGAGGGATAATGTAATGATCCTAAAAATAATAATAATATTATTAATATTTGTGATAATACATTTGGGTTATATTGTTCTTCTATAATTTTGGAGCAGATAAAGGAAACAACAGGTGGCGCAAAGGAACTTATGAATGTTGTATATTTACTTGTTGAGTTCCATTTCCCCCCCTGCCACGCGGAAGATTTTATTTCGATCTAACACTGTGAAATTACTAAAACGCCCCTGTGGGGAAACACATGCGCCAATAAACCACATGACATCAGATTTTTTTCCCACTCTTCCCCATTTCCATTTCTTCGTGCGCAATCCAGAGAGAGAAGGGAGCTTCAAGCAAAACTCTCTCTCTCTATTCCCTTTTCCTTTCGACGCCGACGAGAGAGAGAGAGAGTGGGTGTTTGGCGATTCATCTCTTCCTCTGTTCGCGTCATTGCTTTTCTTGTTCCTTTCATGATTATCGCGTCATTAACGAAACCCCACTCAAGTTATGGAGAAAGATTTCTGGGTCTTTTTATGAACTTACTAGGCATTGTTCCATTTATGTCTATGGTGTCAAATTTCTGGTTTAATCATTTTAATTGATAATTTAAGACTGTTTATGTTGTGAACAAATGCGTTTTGCGTTTAAATATCAATTATTAACTGTTAATTGAACTACTGCATGCTAGCTGTTTGCATTTTTATTAATGGAAGAAAATTATAGAAAAAGTAATAAAAGTTTATCTAAATGTGAAATCTGAAAACTATTATAGGTAGAACGATTAATTGTTTTGTGATGGAAGACTAAATAAATTTTTGGGAGTTCTGTGGTTCATAATTTAGAAACTATGGTGTTGATACATGATTTGATTTTATGGTGCACATGAGGTATTCATTGAAATGTTTGATAGGAGAATTTTAGTCTATGTAAGTAAATAAATATGAGAAAAGCATCATTACTGACTAAATTATTATTGTAGATAATTATTCTCTATAGTGAAAGATTGGAAATGAAGATAGACAATTTTGTAAAAAGGTATTTGTTCAATAAGTCTATGGCCAACTTTGTTGTTCTCGTGTTAGCTTTTGGTACATATAAAGTGTCTGATAAAATGTTGGAGTGATGAAGGTTTATGAAAATTGAATATACGTGAATGGTAATGTTGATTAAATCATAGTAGTTGTTTATTTTCTATAAGAAAACTAAAAACTTTGAATATTATTTATATGTTTTGGTTGAGATTTCTTTTTCTAATGCTCTAAATTTGTTTGAACTGAAAATTTAGATTTGTAAAGTGTGTAAAAAAAATAACAATAATGTCCCTTTTGGGCATTAGAGAATTAAGATGTAGACAATATTATAAAGTGGCTAATAAAGAGTGAGTTATATATTTGGGAATGTCTCGAATAAGTGAATAGCATACAAAATGACTTATTGGTAAATTTATTTTTTTCACACAATGTTTAAGTACAATTATGACTATTTATATAGTTATATTTTAAATTTCGTTATCAACTATCAGGAATAAAAATGATTTTGTTGTTTAAAGTTGTGTAGGAAAAGTTAGAATTATTTTACTATTAGGTATTTACCATTATTTAATATATTGACAATATTTAATTTTATATGGTTTAAGGAGTGATTTCTTATTATGACTCATGCATGCTTGATTTAAAATGTGGAACTGAGTTAAAATGTTAGTTATTAACGGTAGTTTCGTTAATTCTTGACGTCCCATGATACACCTAATTAGTAGGTATTTATAGGAGGTGCTAGTTCCATGCACAGGCAACACACGTGGAACAGAGGGATGGATATTTGTAAATATTATATTCACACTTGTTTCGTGGCTTTTCAGCCACGCTTGATTAATTATTTACTTCGTAGATTGTGTATCAATGCTCATTTGTTATTTGCCCTTGTGAATTGTATGTCCATGCTTGTTATTTGTTCTGATAAGTTCTACTAAAGAATATTTAAAAAAATGTTTTTAAATTAATTTTATTAAACAAGTTGATTTTTATGAGTGGATTTTTTTTATACAACGAGAGATGCATTTGCTGTTTGTTTGACACGAGCTTGATAGTTAGATAGTGAAATTTGATTATTGTGTCATCATCATATGAAGAGGATTTTGGGTCAATTGTTTAAATAAAAATTATTTTATTTATCTACTCTTGCTATTTTAAATGATTATTTTAGTTAAATTCTTACTTATTCCATTTATATTTTTCATTTTATTTCCTTATGTTTTAAATTTGGGACGTTATTCATTAGGAAAAATGTTTTTGCTCTCAAAAATATAGTTCAATCTGTATTTCGAGGTGTTTATTGAAGAATTTATTGTTGAAATGAGGTGCAAGAATTATTTTAAGAAAAATCTCAACTTAATATAAATTTGGACTTATGTTTTAATTTTGTAGTTTCATCCTAGATATTCCATATGGGCTATAGCAGAATTCATATTTCTCTAAAGGATTGTATATTTGTTGGTAAAGATTGGAGTTTCTTTTGTTGAATTATTGCCATCTTTTATTGTTGAAAAATTTTGAGAAGTCTTAATTATACATCTATTAGAATTTTCTTTTGCAAGAAATTTAGTTTGGTTTATATGGAAAAATATTAAAGACATTATGTTTTATATTGCAACAACTTGTGTCTAAGGCTTAAGGAATGTAGGTTTTGTACACATATCTCTTGTTGGTCACGTGTTTTATTTTGTTTTTTGGGCATGACAAGGATCTTATTTATAGTTAATGTGAAGTATCTAAAATATAATCTTAAAATAAAATACATCATTGAATATTTACATAAAAAAGGTGTTTTCAAAGATAAATATTCACCCAGTAAAGTATAAGCCTTTTAATGATTGGCAGAAGATTTAGCATCAATTAATGAATTTGGGTGAAAATATTTTTTGATAAATAGTATCCTCAATAATACAATTAAAAAAAATAAAAGTAGTGAACTCTAGCAATTGTATAAAATAATTGAAGAAGGATAATTCAATATTAAAAAAATGATAGTTCAATATAATAAAATTAACTTTAAATCATAATCATAATTATAAAATGGGAGTGTATTAAAATTGGTCATATGTAAATATGAGTGGTACATTACTACGGAATCATTAAAATTTTAAATACCAAGGTGATTAAAATTCAAAACTTTAAGGACGTAATAGAATAGGTAACAAACTTGAATACATAATTTATGAGGGTAAATAATCAAACATGACTTATGTCATAAAGATAGACGTAGTAGACATATAATCTATGAGAGTAAGTAACTAGACGTGGCTTGAGCCATAAAAACAAGTAACATCTCAATTTAAATTTTAATAATTAATTTGGGTTAATAGCAATTTTGAAGAATATTTAAAGATAAGTAAATTAGTAAAAGATGATCATTAGATTTAATTTAAAATAATTTTAAGCTTAAATTTTTTAAAATTATTATTATTATTATTATTATTATCACCATTATTATTATTGGGAAAAGAAATAAAAAAAATGTAAAAGAGAGGGACAGAGAGAGGATTAATAAATTAAATAAAAAGAAGAAAAAAGGACAGTTGGGTATTCATCCGTGTGTGTAAGAGGCGAGCGCGCGCGCACACGAAGCAAGCAAAAAGCGTGGGACCCACACCATTTTAGATTACACATGACAAATTTCTTTTTCATTTATCCTTCCCTTCTCATTTTCTCTTCGTGCGACTCTGCGTGAGTTCGTCGACACAAGATCTGATTTAAATGATAAGGTTTTCTAATAAGGTACTGAGTGTGTGATTTTAAGCTTTTAAGAGTATATAAATATTTTTAAAAAAAAATTTAATCATCCTTCTTTAGTTTTTGAGAGATGAATTTATATTGAATAAATATGGTTGTTGAGATTATTAGTAGCATAATAAATATTTTAGAGCATTAATTATTGAT